CAGAGCCAGTTTCCGTAGCCATGACATAAAATGGGGTTGGGGATTGCAGGACATTCGGAATTGCGACCTCAGCGTTTTTTCTGTCTTCATAATATGAGTCCTTCTTCTCTTCGGGGTATGGGCTGAAAACATTTTAACACCCTCAAAACTCGATTCTACTCGAATACTAGTGTTTGCCAGAATATCTCGAGGCTCGATTATGCTGCTTCTCTTTATACCTCGTCCTGCGTATTGAATGCTCCGTAGGTCTTAACGAGAATCGTATTTTAACGGAGCCAGTTCGAGCTCGTGGCGATCGTGATAGGCAACTCACCGGCTCGCAACTTGGTCGGAGCGTCAGGGAGACCTTGCGGAACGTACCTTGTACAGTGTCCTTAACCATAGTATTTTTTAGACTATCATTTCGTGTGAAAGTGCATAAAGAAGAGATTCGAAGGTCGATCTCATCAGAAGAGGACGATTGAATCCCGTTGTACTGCAGCCGTTTGGCTTTTATACGATACTTCCTCCCTCTTTTCGAATGAAGGCGGGTTGACCTTTCGTCCATCGGGATTCAACCGTCCTCTTCTGGTGAGATCGATCTCCTAATCTCTTCTTCATACAATTTCATACGAGATGAAAGTCCAAACAATAATGCTATCCCAGGAGATTAATCAAACCCAGTTACTCTTCATATCTTTGCCATAGCAGTCGTGGTTTCCATCATTGGACCATTGGCTGGGTACGTTCCTAAACGTTTTGCCGGCATCGCCAGTCAGACGCGCCATCGTAAGCACAGAGTTACAACTTATCAAAGTGACAAGCTATAAATGGTAATTCTATGCTTACGATTGCGCCTCTCATTGGCGATGATGGCGAAATGTTTGGGAATGTACCCAGCCAATGGTCCCATGCTGGAAATCACGACTACAATAGCAAAGATATGAAGAGTAACTGGGTTTCGCCGGCATCGTCCGTTTGAGGTGCTTTCATCAGTACGGGGTTGCAAATTATCAAATTGCTAAGTGAAGGCAAACCCCTTGACCAATTTCCTGTTAAACCGTTTATTCATTCTCGATAGAATATACCGAAAACGCTTTAGCATCGGTTAAGTAAGGAAAGAGAAAAAAAGTTATTCTGGCCGATACTAATATATAATCTCAAATTTGCATTGTTTACAGACTCTCATTTCGTGTTAAAGAGCACAATCAAGAAAATCGTTGGTTGATCTCCCCCGAAAGATGAAGGTCGATTTTCGTTATTCCTCAGTCATTTGGCTTTATTACCGTCTGTTTTTATTAGCTTAGTCTTGCCTTGAGACGTTTATAAGTTTGAGTTCTAGCTCTGATGATGTTCATCATATAGTGGACGTAAGTTCGGTCCAGTTTTACTCGAAACCTGCTAAAATGCCTCATGCATTGTGTCAATCGACTGCAGAACAACGAGTCTTGGCCGTTTTTTTCAGTTAGATCGACTAACGAATCTATTGATCCTGTATTTTCAAAGAAAATAAAAGTCTTCACAAAAATTTTATCTCAAGAGATTTATTAAAACTCAGCTACTCTAAATTTCTTTGAATTTTAGTCAAAAGTCACCTTATGTCACAGATTTTAAACTCCCAAAAATGAAGAAATGAAGACGAAGATGATGTGGCCTTTAGCATGGTCACAGTCGCCTTTCGATGTATACAAGTTGGCTGATCTCGCTTTCGCAACTTGATCTTGCTGCCAGGGGGACTTAATTGGACGCACCGTGGACTTGGTAAATTCCCAGACGTTTCGTCGGCATCGTCACTGGGTCTTTCCGCTCTCAGCACCAAGCTACAACTCGTTTTGTTTTTTTGACGAATTGTAGCTTGGTGATGATAATAGCTGGGCTCACTGAAGATGCTGGCGAAACGTATTAGAATGGACGCTAGGAATAATGTTAACTAGTATAGCAGAAACCGCCGAATAAAATGTGGTCAAACAAGTCACCATGACGACACGGCCAAATTGAGAAAACGAGAACAGCTCATTTCTAAATCCCGAAAATGAAGTTTACAATGATAGTAGCAATATATGCGAACCCCTTATTTCATAATTGTTGAGCTTACTTCCATTTCGTGTGAAAGTGTTGGGGGAAGAGATTCAAAGGTCAGTTCCACCAGAAGACGCAGGCGGATTCCTCTTGATCAGCCGTCGATTAGCTTTATTGGAAGATTCATGCTGACGCTGTTTCCGAGGCAATCTCCTTCATTCCGATGAAAAAGTGCTAAGCTTTCATCCGTCATATGACGAACATCATCAGAGCAAGCTATCATCGTGACAACAAAATTGGAGCTAGCGAGTCAGGAAAACTCATCAAACCTTGATGGCCAAAAACAAACGTTCCTTTTTTGCTGTCTTAATTACTTTGAACCATCACTGCGGGTTTCCTGTATAAGCGAACATATACAGGCACATACAGAGACATACACACTCACACGCATCGAAGTTGAAATGTGACTGTAACTAACCAAATCACTCTGTACTTGATCAAAAAGGCCAGATGTAGAGTATATATGCCACCTTTAGGGATCTGCCTGTGAGTTTTCTTGACTCGTTAGCTTGCATTTTGTTGTGACGATGATAGCTTGCTCTGATGATGATCGTTATATGACGGACGAAAGCTTAGCACCTTTTCACTGGAATCGAAGGAGCTTGCCTCGGAAACAGCGTCAGCATGAATCTTCCAGTAAAGCCAATCGACAGCTGGT